GAGCGGGAGGGGAAGGAAAAACAGAAGCGCGCGTGCTGGAGGGGTATGTTCTGCATGAGGGGGTTGACGACCGGGAGCAGAGGGGAGTGGGGGGAGAAGGGGGTTTCAAGAGAGGGGCGCAGAGACAGACCAATTGGGGACCCGTTATTAGTCTGGGCCAGCAGAGAGATAGCGGATGATAGCAGAAACGACACAATATGCCTGATTGTGGTCAAAACACAGTAGCCCCGCTGTGCCGTGTTATTTGTGTTGAACACACACACACACACACAGACACACACACAGAAGCACAGAGGAAGGGGAAAGGGGCTGAACGATGACGCGTGTATTTTTTTTTTATTTTTGTTCAACGCAAGTAGAGGGAACGAATGCGACAAGGAGGGGAAGAGATGTAAAGAGAGAATGAAGAGAGAGAGAGAGAGAGAGAGAGAGAGAGAGAAGGAGAGAGAGAGAGAGAGAGAGAGAGAGAGAGAACTAGATAGATAGCGTTAGAGGTAGGGAGTTAGCGATGCCGTCGGACACTCACCTGCAAGATGTGCTCCTCGCGCTGCACTCGCTGCGCCCGCTGGTCGCCGAGCAGGCGCCGCCTCGCCAGCTCCAGGTGCTCGATCATCTCCCGGAGCTGCCTCTCCACCGCCTCGCTGTTGAAAAAAGAGAGAGACGACACGAACGCGGTTAGAGGAGAGAGAGAGAGAGAGAGGAGCCAGTGCTTGTGGACCAGCAGCACCCAGCCCCCGCGCGGTCGCGCCCGCGGGCACACAGCAAGTCAGACAGCAGAGCGCCCCCCGCTCCCCTATTAGGGTTCTCTATTGGTCCCGGGGCCCAAGTGCTGACAGCTCAATTCCCACTGTCATTCGATTTGTTGTCGCATCGACTCCGGAGTCCCTTAGCGTCGCTCCCCCCGGGGCGGGGCATGGGGCGTGGTGGGGCGTGGTAGGGCGTGGGCGCCCAGACAGGCGAGGGCGTCGATCCCGGCCTGTAAGCACAGTGCGGTCCCTTGTATCGCATTCTTCCCTCCGCAGCCCTTTTGCCAGCCCGCTCCGCCCGTTCTCTCTCCCCTTCCCCTTATCTCTCTCTCACTCTCTCTGTGCCTGCTGGAGTCCTTTGCTCCCTTCCGGCCGGCCCTGGCCGAGGTTCTGGCCCTTCGGCCAGCCCGGCCGGCCTCACGCCTTTGTTGGCCCAGGACGTGTCCGTCGTGTCCGAGGCCCCCGCGCGCCCGGCGGCACCCCTGCGCCCCGTCCTGGGGGCCCATTAGAGGTGGGGATTCCCTGAATAAAACATGTGGCACCCCTGGGGTGTAGGCAGGCCGGACAGCAGGCCGGACGGCAGGCCGCCGCGCTATGGCCCGGGTCGCGTCCGGCAGGGCCTGGCAGGGTCCGGCAGTGTCCGACAGCCGCGGGTCCGGGTCCGCAGGTGCGCGGGGGTGTGTGCGGGCCGCCGCCCGGCTCAGATTGAGTCCAGCCGTGTTGAGTGCTTTGAGCCCCTCCTCTACTCCACCCCTCCTCTCCGGAGCCCCGCCTCTTCTTCCGGTTTTGGGGCGATGGCCCTCCAGGTCTAGCATCTGGGACTTACCCAAGGTGTCACATTTACCGACCTTTACTAAAAATTCAAGCTTGCACAAACTTTCTGTTTTTTCTAGGTTTTTTGATTTCTTTTTCTTTCTTTTTTTTGTAATTTTTCCTAAATTTTTTGTTAATTTTTTTTGTTTTGTTTTGTGGGATGTACAATGGTATGTTTGAGTGAATCGCCTCTCCTCGGACTTACCCGTCGGCAGGCTGCTGTTGTTGCTGCTGCTGGCTCGGTGACGGCGACCGCTTGCCCGCCGCCATGCCCAGGGTGAGCTTGCGCAGCACGCTGTCCATCGACCGCTTGTCCATCACCTTGCGCAGGTTGTGGTTGATGTTGTTGTTGATGCTGTTGTTGTTATTATTGTTGTACATGAAGTAGGCGTCCTCCAGTCGCGCCTTCTTGCTCGGGTACGGCTCGCCGCCGTGGTCCCCGCTCTTCCTCTTGGCGCCCGGGCCGTCGCTGACGTCGCCGACGTCTAGGTTCACGTCGTCCTGGTCCGAGTCCAAAGGCGCGCCTGCGAGCATACCATGAAAGGCGTGTTAGTCTAGAAGGTATGAGGTGGGCATCGATCGTGTGGTAGTGTGGACTCGTCCGACGCTTACCTGGCGAGACAGGGGACGGGCAGCCGCTCGGGTAGTTGTCCTCCACGGCGGAGCCGAGCGGCGACCTGGCGGGCGAGCGCGTCGGCGACCGGAGCGGAGACGCGGAGGGCGCGGGCGAGGGCAGTCCGCGGTACGGGGAGGCGGTGGGCGAGCCGGCGGGGGAGTCGCCGAAGGCGGAGGCCGTGAGCCGCGGGCCTAGCCCCACCCCCAGCCCCGCCCCTAGCCGCGCCCCCAGTCGCGCGCCGGGCCCCAGCCCGAGGCTGCCGCCCACGGCGCCGGCCCCGAGGCCGTGACCGAGGCCCGTCAGGAGGACGTCTTCACACAGCATGTTGGTCTCTACGCTCGCGGAGGGCTCGGCCAGCTTCGTGGGTGGAGACTTGCGTTTGGAAGACATGGTCTGCAACATAACAAAAATAGTGTGACGTTACACGTTTCGCCTCGGGTCAGCTTTGTGGGTGGAGGCTTGGAAGACATGGTCTGCTGAAACAGAACAAAAACAGTGTGACGTAACACGTTCGGGTAAGCTTTGTGGGTGGAGACTTTTGCGTTTGGAAGACATAGTCTACAACCGAACATAAAAGAGTGTGACGTTACACGTTTCGCCTCGGGTCAGCGGCACCGCCCCCTAATTCGTGCCCAGCAGCGCGAGGGCGGGCGCGCGGGCGGCGCCGGGCGGCGCCTGGTCGGTAATTGAGGGCATTGCTGGCACAATTCAGACACAATACTCGGCCTGACGACAACACTTTGTTTTCGCGTCTCAGGAGAGACGTGGGCGGCGCGCGCGTGGAAGGGAGGCGCGCACGTCCTCTGGCGGGCCACAGGGTGGTGGTGGCGCCCCCCGAGGGCCCCGCAGGCACCGTGCCGCCGCCACGAACACAGCCCGAGACACGCCTCCGCCCCGGCACCGGCACCCCGAGGCTCACCCCAACAATTATCCACACAATTGCAGTCGATTGCAAGACTCATAATTTTCGCTCCCCCTCTGTTTCAACACTTCAACACCTCGACGGGCTGCGAGTCGTGGGGTGCGCGGGGCGGGGTAGGGCAGGGTGGGGCCAGACCTGCCAAACATTTCGTGCTGTCGTCCTGACAGCGTCGCGTCGCTGCTGTTAGTTGTTTTCGATGATGATGCGTTGCGGTTCAAGGGTTGTTGGAAGGGTTGAAAACATGGGCAGATGTCCCTCCTGTTTTACTCATGCCGTTAAATTATTTTATTTGTCCCGTAATGTATTTCTTTTCTCTCTCTCTCCCATACTAAGATCTTTATCCGAGCCTCCCTTCTTCGCCACTTCGTCCCTCCCCGCCCCCGCCGCGCCCGCTGCCAGACCCGGGGGCCCCCGGGGAGCAGCA